TTTCAGTTTTGCACTTTTATAATTGCAGAATTACATTTTTGCTGCTGTTATATTAGAATAATTTTTCAGTGTCATCTTGAAACAGAAATATGTATTTTAAGCACCTATGCAAAGGTAAATGAAAAACACTTTTTAAATGGTTGCATTGTTTATTTTCTCCATAAGAATCATAAACATTAAACTAAACAAATTACCTATGATGGAATTGATTTACAACTATCCACTTTGATTTAATGGAATTAAATTTATAGATGATATAACCTACTTCCAGATGAAATTTCAAAAATATCAATATAATGTCCAAACAGGAATGGAGACATGCAATTATTTAAAATAAAATAATGTCCACCTGAATATTTTAAATACTCAGTCATAACTATATTAGAAAACATAATGAAGGTGTCCAATGTTTGCCTAGAATTACTGTGATACTTATGTCAAAGTCAAATAAAACATAGAGGTGAATCTCTAAACTTAAAGCATTTTATTTAGGAAGTAAGAATTGCAATTCACGGCATACACACAGATGAGACAGGTGGTTGTCTTCGATATATAGGGAGAACAAAGAGAAGGTTGGGGGTTTTATAAAAAGGAGAAGTGTTACACATTGTTTTGAAAGAAATTTTATTGGTTTTAGTAAGGTCTGGGGGAGCTTGCAAGCTAGGATTGGTGAGAGATGGCAGCAGGTAAAATTAGTCTTAGAGGCACAGTAGGTTGTTTCAGCAGCTGTTAGATAAAACTGGTCTCCGTTTACAAGAGGCAGTTTCAGCAGCCAGGCTTGCAGAGAGTTACCTTTTTGGAGACAGAGGGTCACCCTATGTTGCTCAGGCTGGTCTCCAACTCCTGATCTCAAGTGATCCTCCCACCTCAGCCTCCCAAAGCGTTAAGATTACAGGCATGAGCCACCACACCCAGCTCATTTCTTTTATTATATACACACATATAGGTTATGTTTACCAACCACCATATTGATGTAAGTCCGCAGTTCAATACTTGCTGGTTTATGCTATATAATTTATGCTAAATGTTGACATATACTTGTGGTATATTATTCATTTTATTCTTAAAAAAATTAAAATGAGTTTTTAAAAAAAGAGGCCTGGACTGGGCGCGATGGCTCACGCCTATAATCCTAGCACTTTGGGAGGCTGAGGTGGGCTGATCACTTGAGGTCAGGAGTTCAAGACCAGCCTGGAAAACATGGAGAAACCTGGTCTCTACAAAAAATATGAAAATTTGCCAGGTGTGGTTGCACACACCTGTATTCCCAGCTGGGAAGATGGCTTGAGCCTCGGAGGTGGATGTTGCAGTGAGCTGAAATCGCACCGCTGCACTCCAGCCTGGGTGACAGAGTGAGATCCTGTCTCAAAAAAAAAAAAAAAAAAAAGAAGAGGCTAGTCTAAAATTCATTTATAAGTTGTTGACATTGCTGAGATAACCTCCCAATGTCTTCTCAACTTTTATTTGCGTCTGATACTCACAGCTAGGCGTCGTGAGTTTTTTTTTTTCTTCTTTTCTCTTTGGATCTCAGGTGCAGAGAATTGGATTAATCATAATCCTTAGTTATTACAGAGTCTTGTATGTCATCAGTGTGCTAATGAAACAGAATTACATTTTATAACCAGAAATCAGTTTTTTTTTTCTTTTTTTTCTTTTGTGTGTGTCCCCAATGTCTCTCACTTTGATCCTGAACACAAGTCAATTCATACCTTCCCTAGTTACTCAAAGGTTATTGAAAGTACTATACTGGCCAGGTACGGTCTCTCATGCCTGTAATCCCAGCATTTGGGGAGGCTGAGGTGGGAGGATCACTTGAGCCCAGGAGTTGAAGACCAACCTGGGCAACATAGTAAGACCCTGTCTCTACGAATATATATAGTTTTTAATTAGCCAGGTGTGGTGGGCAGCACCTGTAGTCGCAGCTCCTCGGGAGGCTGAGGTGGGAGGGTAGCTTGGGCCCAAGAAGTTGAGACTGCAGTGAGTGGTGATCATGCCACTGCACTCCAGCCTGGGCAACAGAGCAAGACTCTGTCTCAAATAACAAAACAAAACAAGAAAACAGTGTTACACAGGTAGTAATTTAAAGTCATGGGTTTGATGGCCTTTAGTTTATCTCAAAATGGTAACTAGAAAGTCCAGGTCCAAGTCATGATTTGAAGCTTCCAATTCATTTAAAATGAAAATTTCTCTCCCCTTTCCTAGTTCAGCCCACTATAGAGGGGTATTTCAGTCTGGAGGGGGGTGATGACTTTGTTTCTCTCCCCACTTTCTCCTCGCACAGATAGACAGCTGCTCTTTCTGACCTCTCCCCGATTAGCAGGGAAGGATTGGAAGTGAGAGGAGAGGGAAAGGAAAATGCTTACTTGACTGGTGTTTTCATAAGATGGTTTCATGTTCTTTGGACCCAGCAGGTGTTTAAAGCTGATTCTGTGTGTGTGTGTGTGTTGTGGATTCTTCACATATACCACCTGTATCCCTGGAGATGCCTCTCCACAGCTCCCTTGAGTAGTGAGGCAACCTCCTCCGTCTTGCTTGTTTTTTTCTCAGTTCCTTATTGCTCCCCACACATACAGATTTGATATGAGATTCATAGATTAGTAACTAGGGTAGTTCATGGAATATATTCATAGGAGGAGTGATTACATGAACTCATGTGCAAGTGTGTTTTATAAGTTCTAAACTCCAATGCAATTGCTAGTTACAGCAAATGGTTAAGAATGTTGACTCTAGCATCAAACTAGCAATGCAACTTGTGTATGTTATTTAAATTGTCTGTGCCTCAAGTTTCCTGAGCTCTAAAATAAGGATAATTAAAGTATGAGGATCCAGTGGATAACACAAGAAAACACTTAGACCAGTGCCTGGCCCCTGGTCACTGCATCATGAATAGTAACTGTCATTCTGCCACCTTTATCATGAGCACACTTTCTTTCACTGCCATTGACTAGTTTAGAGGAGCTTGAAAATCAACCAGCAGGAGGACTGCCATATTAACCACTGACTCTGACAAGGATGAACCTGGATTCTCAAGAAGGCATGAACAAAGTGCTACAGAGGCATTCATTATTACCCCAGGGTAAGGATTTAAGAGCTGACAGATCTGATTCACTGAGAAGATGACATTTTACCCTGGCACGAACCAAGGAGTAGGCAAAGAGAAGAGAAATAGCTTTGAAAGGTATTTCTTAGTACCATGGACAGGGACTGGTTGACACTGGGTTTGGCAAATGAAGTGGGGAAAGATTCCTAGGATTATGCCTCCGTGGCAGGGAAAGAGAACACTGAGGAATCCAGATTCCTGGGGGGAAGAAAAGAAGAAAAGACACAGCTGACTGGACAGAAAGGAGGCCTGGACATAGAGGGGCCTAGAAACAGTCCACTGTAACCAGAGATACTTGTGCTGGCAAGGCCCAGGAGAGAGGGTCCAACTTGGGAAATAAACTATGTGGAGTGTCTGAGAACACCCTTCTCCAAGAATCCAGGATTTTCTGGGATTATGAAAGGGATAGCCTCAGGCTACGTAGTGAACCTGCAGATGGTCGCTGCTGGGGCCAATTCATTGTAACTCCAGGTACTTTTGCTTTTTTTGCATTTTTATTTGATTTCTTTCTTTCTTTCTTTCTAACTTTCTTCTTCCTTTCTTCATTTTTTCCTTTCTTCTTTTCTTTCTTTTTAGAGACAGGGTCATGCTCTGTTACCTGGGCTGGAGTGCAGTGGTGTGATCATAGCTCACTGCAACCTTGAGTTCCTGGGCTCAAGCTATCCTCTGGCTTCAGCTTCCCAAGCAACTGGGATGATAGGTGCACATAACCACACCTGGCTGTTTTTTGTTTGTTTGTTTGTTTTTTGTTTTATAGAGATGGGGGTCTTCCTATGCTGCCCAGGCTGGTCTCAAACTCCTGGCTTCAAGCAATCCTCCCACCTCAACCTCCCAAAGTGTTAGCATTACAGGCATGAGTCACCATGTCCGGCCCTTATTTGCCTTTTTGAAGGCATATTATTTGTCTATAAAACCATCTGGGCCTGCTGTTTACTTTGTAAGACAATTCAATCTCTTAAAATAATTACAGGCTAATCTAGATTTTCATTTGTTCTTTAGTATTTGTAAATTGTATTTTTCTATGATTCGTTGATTTTTAATTTAGTTTTAGACTTCATTGCTGAAGTTGTTCATAGGATTCTCTTACTATCTTTCTATTTTATGAACCATATAATTATAGGCTTATAGTTGGTCCATATTATGGTCCATACAATGTGGTCCGTGTTTAGATATAGTTTTCTCCCCAATTCCCACTACTGTGCATTAGTGCCTTATGTTTTAAAACATGAAACAGTGATGTTTATTGGTCATCCCTGTGGTACTAAACAGGCCCATGATCCCAGGAAAACTGTCATATTCTGTTTCCAGATTCCAGTAACAAACTGGATTTCACAAGCGTTTATTAAGCATTTTTATGTGTTCTGTATCAGGTACTAGGGATATAGAATTCAGTAACTGTAGGTCAACAAATGTCCCTGCCCTCAGGGCTCACAGCCAGGTCTCCTGAGAGCAGAGTGAAGAGGAAGCTCAGTATTTCTCAGGCAGGCCAGCAGGTCGGAAGTGATTGGGGTCTTTGCCACTCTGGCCCCATTTGTTGGTAGCGTGGCCAGCCAGCGAGTCCTCCTTATGGTCTCCTGTGAGTCTCTGGACATTCTCTCTGGCATTGCTACAGTCCAGGCAAGCAAAGAGATTAATCACCAGGCCAGTGAGCAACAGCCCACCTTCCCATTCTCCCTGTTCCAAGGGAAGACTCTGGGAGAAGCCCAGAAAGGCCAAGGAAGTGGTGGTGAAAACACTGACCCTGCCTGGACACCACCCCACTCAGCCAGGCTGGGCTCCCCTAGGCTGGATGAACAGCACCCAGAGAGGGAGGGTGAGGAATCACTCACTCCTACCATCCACTCAGACCCTTGCACTAAGCACAGAGGCAAACAGAGAGCAAGAAGAGGAGGGTCTGCAGCCTCTAACTTATCTACAAGGAGCTTGCCTCTCTCCTGACTGTCCAAGGCAGGCAAGCTCTGCTCACCCATCCCCGGCAACATCAGGAATGTGCATTACTTGATCACTTCTGCAGCCCAGACACCCCCAGGCCCCCTTTGTACAGCGTCGTAGTTCCCCCAAGCATGGAAGTATTTGTCTGAATTTTTGTAATTGGCTTCTTTCATGTCAGAGTAGGCTTTCCACATGTCCGGAGACCCTGGAAAGGAAAGAAAATGATCAAAACAATTATGTCTGGGAAAATAGAGGAATGAGCAGTTTTCTTCTCACTAATTTCTTCCCGAAGATTTCAGCCTTTAACAAAGCCCTCCGAAATTATACTGGCTTGAAATAAATATTCTACTTTTCACTTCCCTGGGTTAATGTAATGAGAATTGTACTTGGTGTAAGTTTAATTCTGTTTGATTCCATTCAAAGTTCTGTTATTACTTTTTTTTTAACCATGTGTGATACACCTAAAGAAGAGATGAAATGGGCCTTAAGGGATGTTTCATTGTACAATGAACTTCTTCCTGGAAGGACCCAGGGAACCCTTAGACCAAGGTGTGAGAACACAGGGGATTGTGAGGGAGGCTGCAGACATACGGCACTCCTAATCTAGTCAATGGGAGAAATTCATGCCTGTAGTTAGAGTGAGGACTACTTGGTCCTGAGTACATCTGAATGTCCAGGCTATGTTTAGAAACTGACATCTGTCAAAATTCAGTCAACAAGTGATAACGGTGAGTTATTTAAGAAAGCTTTATACAACTGGGTAATCAAATTCAGAAAAAGGACAACTGACCCACTAGTTCAGAACCTCAGTGTCCTCCCCAGTGAAATGGAGGAGTATTGCCTGCCTCAGAGTGATTATGCAGAAGAACAGAGAAAATGCATGTATGATGCCTAAAACATTGTAGGTGGTCAATATATTATCATTTCACTTCTCTGGTCCTTAGGAAAGGTAGCATAAGAATAAAGAAGGGCTAAACTAAGATCAGGAGCAGGGAGTTATGGACTGAAGGGATCTGATCAAGCTAGAATTAAGTGACGAATAGGTTTTAAAAAATTAACTGATTACGGAAAAGGGGGAACTCAAATGTAGAGTTACAATCATGACTTATATAATTTCTCTATGAGATAATTCATCTTCATTTTATGCATTTATTATTCCTAGTGTCAAATTGATTGCTTTTATTCAGAGTTTATAACATTTTACTTGACTCATTCTTCTGAGTTACTAACTTAAATGGCTCCTTGATGTTCAGGTTGGCTTAATAAGTACTTCAAAAATTCCTGGCACATTTTATCACTTTGGGCAGCAAAACAAGAGGTAGTTGTTCTCAGCCCTTACTGTGTATAAAAATCTACTGAGGTGCTTGGTAAAGGCAAGATTTCTAGGCTCTATCCCAAGAGACTATGGCTGCTAGGGGTGGGGGGGTAGGGTATGGATCCAGGAATCTTCATTTCATTTCACAAAGCATCCCAGATGCCAGGTGAGTCTCAGGCAAGTGATCCCAGAACAACCCTTTGAAAAATATTAACCTAAGGAATGAAAGATATTTGTAAGTGAGTGTGTGAACATGTAAATAGGATTAAAAGCAAATCCTTAAAACCATTTTTCAGAGGCTCAGAAAAATAATAATACCTGAAATTTAAAATACTGCATTCTGAAAACAAAATTTTGCCACTTTATTATGGCTAGGGGGGGTATATTTCTCTTTCTCTCTCTCTCTCTCTCTCTCTCTCTCTCTCTCTCTCTCTCTCTCTCGATGGAGTCTTGCTCTGTCTCCTAGGCTGGAGTGCAGTGGTGTGATCTCGGCTCACTGCAACCTCCACCTCCCGAGTTCAAAAAAGTCTTCTCCCTCAGCCTCCCGAGTAGCTGGGATTATAGACGCATGCCACCACACCCAGCTAATTTTTGTATTTTTAGTAGAGACAGGGTTTCGCCATGTTTGCCAGCCTGATCTCGAACTCTTGAGCTCAGGTGATCTGCCCACCTCGGCCTCCCAAAGTGCTGGGATTACAGGTGTGAGCCACTGCGCCCAGCCTTGGGTTATATTTCTCTTGCTAGCAGTTTTCTGGCCACGTATAAGCCCCAACAGAACCACCATCAAGGTAATTCACTGTATCTTTTACTGGGATAAGTGTAGCTAGACTTACCTTCCAAAGGCATCACATCCTATTTGCCATTTCTTAGATAGAGGATGAGCTATGTGTTTACAAATGCAGAACTCTTGTTTTGAAAGCAGCAGAGTACCATGATTAAGAGCAAGGTCTGCAGAGCAAGACTGCCTGGGTTAAATTCTGCTCTGCTGTGGAACTTCGCTTGGTATCTTGGGTTGCATGTGTGTGTGTATGTGTGTGTGTGCGTGCGTGTGTGTATGTTAGCGTCTCTGTTAAGGGTTTACTTGCATCATAGGACTAAATGATGGAAACCAATTCATTAGTACATTTAAACAGTGCCTAGTAAGTATTAAAATCTCAGCTAAGCTTGGTTGTTTTTATGGGGACTGTTGGCTCCATTCTGCTTCCCCGTGGACTCGCCTCACACGATTCACACGATCGCCTCACACGATCCACACGATCGCCTCACACGATCAAAGCAGGTTTGATCTACCTGCTTCCTGGCTTCCCAGGAGACATAGACATGAGCTGTCCCAGATTTCCCACTAGGAGGCAGTAGAGCCCCACGGGTGTTATGAGAACATGCACCCCTGAACTCCGCATCTCTCACGCTCCTGCTGAAAAGAGGCAGCTCGGCCGGGCGCGGTGGCTCAAGCCTGTAATCCCAGCACTTTGGGAGGCCGAGTCGGGCGGATCACAAGGTCAGGAGATCGAGACCATCCTGGCTAACACGGCGAAACCCCGTCTCTACTAAAAACACAAAAAATTAGCCGGGCGAGGTGGCGGCGCCTGTGGTCCCAGCTACTCGGGAGGCTGAGGCAGGAGAATGGCGGGAACCCGGGAGGCGGAGCTTGCAGTGAGCTGAGATCTGGCCACTGCACTCCAGCCTGGGCGACAGAGCAAGACTCCGTCTCAAAAAAAAAAAAAAAAAAAAGAAAAGAGGCAGCTCACACCTTATGCGGCCCCAGGCTGGGGGATCCTCGTAGAAGAGTGTCAAAGCTGCCCATAAAAGCATGAGGAACCACGCTTATGAAAAACCATGCCCCTTCTCTATCCATCTGTGGCATCACTAGCACCTTTGCCCAGTGGGGATGTGGCCTCTGCTCAGCTGAATTCTGGGGGCAGCCAGAAGCAGCCTCCTGCTCCCTATCCTGTGGACCTTACCTTGGCCAGCTTCCTTGAGGAATGTTAACCATCGCTGGCTGCTGATACCCAGTACCAGGGAGCAGAAAATGATGCCAATGGAGAGCTTCATCCTGCTGCAGGGCCAAGGAAACACAACCAAGGATAATACACGTTCTGTTTCAAGTTTTTATTTTTTGTAATGTTGTCCCATTCTTTCATTCCAAGAAAAAAAACCCACTCGGTTTTACACACACACACAGACACACACACACAGACACACAGACACACAGACACACAGACACACACACACACAGGTGTATGTGTATAGATAAAAGATAGAAGGTCAGAGGGTCTAGGGCTCCATTTCCATTTGTCTCACTGGAATCCCAGTGTCTGACAGAAAAGGAGCATTGACCCAGGATAAAGCAAATCAGGCACAAGTTACACCATGTTTGAGAATCATTATTTTAGATTTAGAGCCTGCCAAAATGAGGAATTATGCCTCTTTCTGGGTTCTGAGCATATTTTAGGCACAGTAAAATGAAAGTTATAGGGCAGATAGCTGTCAGAGGGCTTCACTGTCCCTTTGGTTCTTATCTAAGGCAATGCTAAGCAACATTTGGATATTCCCTACACAACTTCCATTCCATGGAAAAGGTGAGGTTCCCTGTGGTCAGTGTAGTATCTGAGCTGGCGTGGCTCACTTTGTCCCAGGAGTAGACAGTAGAAGAGGGGGAAGAGTAGGGGAGTTGTCAACCATCCACAGCCACTGGTCACGTTGTACTTGGCGGAGCTGCTTCATAAAGCAAGGCATGTGATGTCCAGACCTCCTTTTTCCTACTCTTCTTCAGGCAGAAATTGCAGGCCAATGATCATACCCTGTCACAATTATTTTACTCCCTTTGGGACCATTCAATGCTGGAAATCTACTTTCTCGTTTCATTCAAATCATTCTCTTCTTTCATAGAAGTTGATATGGTTTGGATCTGTGTCCTCATCCAAATGTCATGTTCAATTGTAATTCCCAACATTGGGAGTGGAGCCTAGAGGGAGGTGATTGAATCATGGAGGCTGTTTCTCATGAAAGGTTTGACAGCATCCCCCTTGGTACTGTCGTCGTGATAGTGAGTGAGTTCTCTTGAGATCTGGTTATTTAAAAGTGTGCAGTACCTCCCCCCTTACTCTCTTTTGCTCTTGCTCCTGCCATGTGAGATGCCTCACTCCCCCTCTACCTTCTGCCATATTGAAAGTTTCCTGAGGCTTCCCCAGAAGCAGAAGCCAGTGTGCTTCCTGTACAGCCTAAAGAACCATGAACCAATATAACCTCTTTTCTTTATAAAGTACCCAGTTTGAGTCATTTCTTTATGGCAGTATGAGAACAGACTAATGCAGAATTATTAGAAAGCAAGTGGGGTGGGGACAGTGGCTCATGCTTGTAATACCAGCACTTTGGAAGGCTGAGGCAGAAGGATCACTCGAGGCCAGGAACTCAAAACCAGCTTGGGAAACACAGCAAGACCTCATCTCCACTATATATGTGTGTGTGTATATTTTTAATTAGCTGGGTGTGGTAGCATGCACCTGTGGTCCCAGCTGCTCAGGAGGCTGAGGCAGGAGGACTGCTTGAGCCCGGGAGTTGGAGGCTATGGTGAGCCATGATCACGCCACTGCACTCTAGCCTGGGCGACAGAGTGACACACTGACTCGTAGGAAAAAGAGCAAGAAAGCGAGTACAATTTCTAGATACCAAGAGGAACTCCTCACAGGGACTTTGACAAGCCTTGCCTGTTCTCTTCCTTTGTTACTTAATGTATTCTGCCTTCTGGGAAGGTACACACAGTTTCTTATGGAGCGAAGCTGAGAATAATAGACAATAGCGGCAGTCAGTTCTTTTCACTTGTTTCTCCTGAAAAAGAAAGATTTCCTGTCATCATGATATCAGAGTCCCCAGGCCTTAAAGGGATTTTCCAACAGTCTCTTATAAGTGACTACGTGTCCTGGTTTGCATGCGATCAGTGTCGATTGTCCAAGCTTAATAGTGGCACATCTTTTCATTGTCTACGATGGCCTGGGTTGAAGAGTAAATTAGATGGTAGCACTACTCTAATAACCTTGTGCGACCAGGCTGATTGAGAGGCCCAAGAGACCTCCATTCTTTTATGTTACAATTAATTTAAGTGGAAGAGGAGAATACCAAGGCTTAATTTTATTAAGAATTAGAAAAACAAAAATCAGAAAAGTCCAAAAGTCCACAGGTGTCATGACTACGAATGACATCTCAGACCTAAGTCCCAGTCTTAGAAGACCAGGAGGAAGGATTTTATATTCCCTAAATACAAAATGAAGAAAATAATGATACAAAATCACTACCCTAAAAAAATTCAAGTTTAATGAATCCTAGTTATCTGAATAGTAGATATAGGAAGGATGCCGAAAAATACGACTAGAGTTGTTGTGAGGATTAAATGATTAATGCTGACAGGGGTTTGGATTAATTGTGGGCGTGTGTAAAGAATGTAATGAATTTTAGAGCTTCCACCTTAAGCAAGGAAACGCATAATAATTTATATTTTCCAGGAGACAGAAATATTAATTATAATATTATTACCAAGGCAACCTATTATTAAGACATTAGTAAGATTACCAGTTAGAGCTACAGTTATAAGAACCAAGGTTTATTTTCACATAGTGACAGAGACGTTTGAACCAGAGCGACTCTATTTGGCATGAGCGCTAGGAAAATGAGGCTGAGATTGCTAGGCTCCATTCTCAGAAAGTTAGGCCTTCCTAACCTATAGATGTTTACAGTTACAGGAACAAATTCATAATGTTTACTAAACAGACCCAGACTTGGGAATGTACAGATATCCCAATATCTGGAGAACAAAGACATTCCTAATTTTGCTTTAAAGATAATAATATTGGCCGCGTGTGGTGGCTCATGCCTATAATCCCAGCACTTTCGAAGGCCGAGGTAGGTGGATCACGAGGTCAGGAGTTTGAGGGCAGCCTGGGCAAAATGGTGAAACCCCATCTCTACTAAAAATACAAAAAACAAAATTAGCTGAGCATGGTGGCACGCACCTGTAGTCCGAGCTACTCAGGAGGCTGAGGCAGGAGAATTGCTTGAACCCAGGAGGTGGAGGTTGCAGTGAGCCATGATTGAGCCACTGCACTCCAGCCTGGGCAACAGAGTGAGACTCCATCTCAAAAAAAAAAAAAAAAAAAAAAGATAATGATATTGATTCTTGCAAAATATAGTAATTAAGAAAACAGGGCTGGGCCCAGTGGCTCACGCCTGTAATCCCAGCACTTTGGGAGTCGACGTTGGTGGATCACCTGAGGTCAGGAGTTCAAGACCAACCTGCCCAACATGGCGAAACCCTGTCTTTACTAAAAATACAAAAATTAGCTGTGCGTGGTAGTGGGCACCTGTAACCCGAGCTGCTTGGGAGGCTGAGGCAGGAGAATCACTTGAACTTGGTGGGCAGTGGTTGCAGTGAGCCCAGATTGTGCCACTTCACTACCGCCTAGGCAATAAAGCAAGACTTCATCAAAAAAAAGAAAGAAAAAAGAAAAAAAGAAAAAGAAAAAGAAAAGAAATCTGTTATTACAAACCCTTGTAGCAGAACACATCTCCCCATATATAAGCAATTGTACCTAGGGTGGACACGTTCCTCTTCTGACTTTCAGGAACATTCTATTCTGTCTATGGAGTAGCTGTCCTTTTGCCTCTTTACTTTCTTAATAAACGTGCTTTTACTTTGCACTGTGGACTCACCCTGAATTCTTTCTTGTGCGAGATCCAAGAATCCTCTCTTGGGGGTCTGGGTCTTGAGCCCTGTCCTGTAACAATAGGACATACAATCATCTTTGAAGTCTGGGTGAAAGACTTGAAGGAAAAATCTTTCAAGATTTTTTTTTGTTAGAAATAACTGTTGCAAGGATATGTTTATGATGCAAAAAACAAAACAAAACAGAACTGCATTGCTTGCATGCAAAAATAATATGCATTGCTTGCAGCTGCAAGAGATAACATTCCTTCAAACCTTGCTGAGACTTTTTTAAAATTATTATACTTTAAGTTCTAGGGTACATGTGCACAATGTGGAGATTTGTTACATATGTGTACATGTGCCATGCTGGTTTGCTGCACCCATTAAGTTGTCATTTACATTAGGTATTTCTCCTAATGCTATCCCTCCCACAACAGGCCCCGGGGTGGGATGTTCCCCTTCCTGTATCCAAGTGTTCTCATTGTTGAATTCCCACCTATGAGTGAGAACATGCAATGTTTGGTTTTCTGTCCTTGTGATAGTTTGCTCAGAATGATGGTTTCCAGCTGCATCCAAGTCCCTGCAAAGGACATGAACTCATCCTTTTTTTATGGCTGCATAGTATTCCATGGTGTATATGTGCCACATTTTCTTAATCCAGTCTATCATTGATGGACATTTGAGTTGGTTCCAAGTCTTTGCTATTGTGAATAGTGCCACAATAAACATACATATGCATGTGTCTTTTTAGTAGCATGATTTATAATCCTTTGGGTATATGCCCAGTAATGGGATGGCTGGATCAAATGGTATTTCTAGTTCTAGATCCTTGAGGAATCACCACACTGTCTTCCACATGGTTGAACTAGTTTACAGTCCCACCAACAGTGTAAAAGTGTTCCTATTTCTCCACATCCTCTCCAGCATCTGTTGTTTCCTGACTTTTCAATGATTGCCATTCTAACTGGTGTGAGATGGTATCTCATTGTGGTTTTGATTTGCATTTCTCAGATGACCAGTGATGATGAGCATTTTTTCATGTGTCTATTGGTTGCATAAATGTCTTCTTTTGAGAAGTGTCTGTTCATATCCTTTGCCCACTTTTTGATGGGGTTGTTTGGTTTTTTTCTTGTAAATTTGTTTAAGTTCTTTCTAGATTCTGGATATTAGCCCTTTGTCAGATGGGTAGACTGCAAAGATTTTCTCCCATTCTGTAGGTTGCCTGTTCACTCTGATGGTCATTTATTTTGCTGTGCAGAAGCTCTTTAGTTTAATTAGATTCCATTTATCTATTTTGGCTTTTGTTGCCATTGCTTTTGGTGTTTTAGTCATGAAGTCCTTGCCCATGCCTATGTCCTGAATGGTATTGCCTAGGTTTTCTTCTAGGGTTTTTATGGTTTTAGGTCTAACATTTAGGTCTTTAATCCATCTTGAATTAATTTTTGTATAAGGTGTAAGGAAAG